GGTGATATTACACCACTAACTAGAGCATACAAAACATTTGCTAGACCAATACTTGAATACAGCTCATCAGTCTGGAACCCACATTACGTATCTGATATTAACACAGTTGAGAAAGTCCAGAAATATTTTATAAGAAGAGTTCTCCACTCCTCTACTTGTTGCAGAATACCTTATGCCACCAGACTCAAAATTCTAGACCTAGAAAACCTAGAACTATGCCGCCTTCGGTCCTATCTAAGTATAATATATAAAATCATACATTGCAATGTCCTACCTGTCAATGAATACTTCAGCTTCAACCATAACAACACAAGAGCAAACAATAGATACAAACTCAAGGTTAATCGCACCAAACTGGATTGCAGGAAATACGACTTCAGCAACAGAGTGGTCAATGTCTGAAATACTCTACCTGACTCTGTGGTGTTTTTTTTCCCCATGCCCCAAAAACTTTAACCTTAGACTGTCTACTATTGACCTCACCCCTTTCCTAAGAGGTCTGTAAGGGGCGTGCATAAGTGCACCAACGTGCCTACCGTCCCTGTCCTATTGTTTCTTTTAATTTTTTTTTCTTATATGTATCCATGTATTCATAACTATCTTTTAACTTATACCTATTATCTTGTAAGCAATTGACAAATAAAAATAAATAAAATAAATAAAATAGTACTCCATTCTCTAGTTGATTCTATCATTTCTCCTGGAAAACTGAAACTAGTTTAAAATTGAAATAACTGCATATAATCATTCTCTTTTTATAAAATCAGAAATGAGTGGATTTAATAAACACAAAAATAAATATTAATTGAGCATCATTAAGGTAAAGTTGTTTTAGCTAACTACTTTAAAGTATCTCATCATACACAACATAGAACCCTGGAGGACGGTCTCACTTCCTGAATAGGATTTTAAACAAAGATGAATAAAACTATAAGTTGATTTTACTTGCCTTAAACTATTTATCATCTTAAAATATTTATCAGCTTCATTAAAATGCTGTAACATTTCATGAAATTTACAATTCAAATCATAAAAGTGCATAAAGTTTGCAATTAATACTGAAGATTGTCTCAACTGATTTCATTATTTCAACGAATTATTTTGGAAATATTTTTTTACTTCAACATAAATTTAATGCTTTCAAGTAATGTAGAGACTTTATTTTCAATCTTTTAAAGGAAATATTCCTTCTGTAACTATTCTTGTTTAAGGATCTAGATAAAGAGCTTTTAATTAATACACCCAATAAAATTCTGGTATTAGTTTTGTCTCATTTTCCACTGATAGTAACCTGTTCTGAATATGTAATACATATAGTGCTTCATTGTTCATCGGGAAAAAAAATCTTAGATTTCATCAAATCTAACCTCCATGAGTGCAGCACCCACTAGAGTGTCTTCGATAGTTGACCATTCAGCCTCTGATCAAAGACATCCAGGGAAAAACTCACCACTTCATATGGCAACTATTCTACTGGTTAAGAGCCTATACAATCAGGAAGTTCTTCCTGACATCTAATTTGAGTTTTAACCCTTTAGTTTTAACTTCCTGTCCCTGGTCCTTCTTTCTGCAGCAATAAAGATTAATTTTAAGAACTTTCATGTATCATCATTTAAGATACAGGTAGTCCTTGACTTACAATAATTAATTTAGTGACTGTTTGAAGTTACAGTGGCACTGAAAAAAATGACATATGACCATTTTCACACTTATGACCATTGGACATCCCCAAGGCCATGTGATCAAAATCCAGACACTTGGCAAGTGAGTCATATGGTTGCAGTGATGGTTGCAATATCCTGGTGTCATGTGATTCCCCTTTTGCAACCTTCTGACAAGAAAAGTCAATGGGGAAGCCAGATTCACTTAACCATGTTACTAACTTAACCACTTCAGTGATTCACTAAACAACTGTGGCAAGAAAGGCTGTAAAAAGGGGCAAAACAAATGTTTCACTTTACAAAATAAATTTTGGGCTCAATTGTGGTTGTAAGTCAAGGATTACCTGTATTGAAAACTGCTCTCAAGTATCGTCTCAGCTTTTTTTTTAGACAGGCATTTCATGACAATTCCTCCAAATAACTTCAACTGATAGTGAGGAAACACACTATCTAATTGCTGATTGGTTGGGTAGTGGGGGAAAAAAGTTAAAAAGAAAAGAACTTGGGGAAGCGTCCTTAGGATTCTATGGGCTGCACCAAGAGTAGCTCAGACCACACGCAAAGATGGTAGATTGCTTATGTCTGATAGTATTAGACTTTGGAACCATTATTTGTTATATCAGCCTCAATATTGTATTACTGTCATACTAATTATCTTAAGTAGTTGTTTTTATGTCAACCAGTATTATAAATCCAGGAAAAGTGACTTCCTTTTTCTCATATGTATATAATAAACTTATGAACTATCATGTATATATTTTTGAAAACAGGAACATAAGTTGAGTGAACTCTTCATTTATACATTTTATTCATATATAGTTCCTTTAATTTAATTGCTAGTTATAAATGAACAACTTATGCCCACATACATTTTGACTGCTGCTGTTTTACTTTCAAGCTTTAAATAGAATAGCTTGTACACAATTCTTGAAAATATCAGTGCATAATTGTTAGCAAGATGTAGCATATAAGAATAGTGATATCTATGTGCTTTATCTGAATTTATATTGTTTATCAATTGTTTTAAAATGTAAGAAGTACAACAGTAAAATAATAACAGTTTGGTATAAAATACATGTAACTACCAAATAATATCTGCAAATATCAGGGTTCTCCAGATGTTGGGTTGTTAAAAATGTAATGAATGGGTAGCAAATCTCAGTATATCATTATTGTATGGGCTCCATGATTTAGTTTTTCAAACAGGGCAAATGTGACTCAGTGCCTTGTTTTGCCATGAAAATTTAATATATGGCTGCAATTTTAGTTCAGGATACTTCTAAACCAAGGACATACTGCTCTATAACAATATTCTCACCCCAGAATAGCTGGCCAGGCAAGGGAGCAGGTCAGGTGGTGCTAAATGGTTGGTTGGGGAGTGGGGAATCATGGCTGCTCAGGTGGCTCCTGCCATCTATACCAGAGGTGGTATTCAGCAGGTTCTGACCAGTTCTGGAGAACCGGTAGCGGACATTTTGAGTAGTTTGGAGAACCAGCAAATACCACCTCTGACTGGAGATTTTACAGTATCCTTCCCCTGCCACGCCCACCAAGCCACGCCCACAGAACCGGTAGTAAAAAATTTTGAATCCCACCACTGATCCATACCACTGCTAGCAGCTTAAGTGCCTTGGCTAAAGGATGGATCGCTGTCACACACACAAACAGAGATTGGAGAGCTCTCTTTCTCTTTCTCTCTCTCTCTTTCTCTCTGTCTCATTGTGGTGGCAGTTGCAGAGCTGGCTGGTGGGGCGCTTAGGTAAGCCAGGGTGTGGAGGGCAGCTCTGTACCCCCTGCCTTGCTTTGTACTTCACCCACCACCACCTTGCTGTATGGCTGCCACACCAGTGCATTGCTCAGCCTCCTGCTAGGTTATGGCGGCGAGCAAGGAGAAGAAGTGGCGAAGAATGAAGAACAAAGCGAGGTGGGGGAGTGGAGGATGAAGCAAGGCAGGGGGTGCAGAGCTGCCCACCCTGCTTGCCCTGGCTTAACTAGGGGCCCTTCAGCCAGACCAGCCATGGCAAACCCTCATCCCCTCCACCCCTGCCACCCAGGGCAGCCACATCTCTTCACTAACCTTTCCAGCTCCTTTCACTGCCACCATGTGCAGTGAAAGTAATCTGTGGGACTACGGTAAAAAAACATAGTTCAGACCTTCCAACTTCTCCTGCCAAAAATTAAAGATTGTGAGGTTGGAAGGTCTGAACTATTTTCTTATAGTAGTCCCACAGACTAGTTGCTCTGCATGCAGCAACAGAGAACTGGGCCTGAATTTGGCCTCATCGCAGGTTTGACACCCCTGCTTTCTATTCTCCTAATAGAAGTGAATTGTCCGTGTCAATAAGTATCTGATTTTAATGGTGCAGGGCTTGTGATGGAATCATAGAATTGGAACCCTAACCCTAAAGGACCATCAAATCCAACCCCCTGCATACTGCAGGACTCATTACACCATTTCTAATAGATGATTATCCAGCCTGTGATTAAAAATTTCCTGTAAAATGGAAAACACCACTGTAAACCATAACATAATAGCAAGTTTGAACCTTTCGCCTTTAGTAGACTTTTAGAATTTGGAAACATGAATCAAGGCGTTCATAATTAAATAGCCTATTTATACCTTGTTTTGCCTGTGCTTCTTAATTTTCAGTTTAAAATCTTAATTAATAGCCATTGTCATATAATTCTGGAATGAAGATAAAGTAACAAATTTTATCATCATGAAGCTTCACTATGTCCAGATAATCTCCCAAGAATTGACCATGACTCAAAGGCATCTTTGACCATAACATGATGGCAGCGATAATTTTTAACTAAACATTCATAATTCATCGCTGCCACTGAATTTCTAAATGGAACACAAATGGAACGGCATTTTATATTGCAGAGAACAATTTATATTAGCACATAGATGAATATTATTTTCCATGTAAGGTACAACATCATGAAATAGTTAGCTATTAGAATATGTGTGTGTGTATGTGTGTGTATGTATGTGTGTATGTGTGTGTGTGTGTGTGTGTGTGTGTGAGAGAGAGAGAGACGTGAACTTCTCAGAAGATTTAGGTATACATCAATTCAAAAGTACAGGCAATGTAGGTAAATATAATCTAAAAGGGATTAATAAAATATCTTTCTTCCCCTAAATAAGAGTACTTTATTTGAAGCCATGAAGTATTGACATTCATCTTTCTCAGAAAATGATTATGATAATGTACAAGTCGATGGGGAAAAAAAATCTCATAAACCTAATGGATGTCTCTGTAAAATTATTCTGTAAAAAGGAATGTATCAATAATCCCACTACAAATGTATGAGCGTGTTTTTGTTGCGTTTCAGGAGAAGCAAAGGTTTCTGACTGATGTCTTACATGAAGTCATGTTACTTGATGGCCTGACAAGTTCTCATCCCGTGTCACAAGACGTGCAGCAGGCCACAGATATTGATCGAGTCTTTGACTGGATCGCCTATAAAAAGGTGGGAACAGAAGAAAGGACACAAGTTGTATGTTTGTGGGATTTTTCTGGCATTTATTTTTTAGCTTCATGTTCTGCTGTCAGTTAATTATTTCTTCTTCTATGTTCTACTAACATCCCATTCTACTTTGATCAGAATTTCAATAAGAGAAATTCCAGGCAGAGATTACAGAAAGTTTCCACGGAGGCTCTTGAAAATAATGTTCTATTACAAAGCAGTTCAGTTGAAAATAGTCATGAATACTGAAATGATCATAATAATATAAATCAAGTTTAATAAGAGATCCATTTGTTTTTAGTATTCAGATTAATGTCATTTGTATCTATGGTTAGTTATGAGTCCAACATACTTTACAGTAATTGTAGCTAGTCAAATTAAGAATTGCCATTCCTAACCGAAGGCTCGTGCACAATCATTTTAACTTACTGCTTTCTAGGCCCTATGAAAAAATTCATTTGTACCTCAAGGTCAGAAAGTTTATATTCTTTATAATCTTATATCTTATTTAAAACCTTTCAACCAATTAATCAGTATAGTTTTATTTAGAAAAAAACCCCCACTTTGACTTTATCAGAATTCAAAAACACCCAGACTGCAAAAATGATAAAACTGGCAGGGGACTACAAAAATGTATTGCAACATTAAAAAAAAAAAAACACATACAAATAAACACAAACAATACAATACATTAGCACAGGATTAAATATATATTTTTTAAAAAGAAACTGTTTCCTTAGTGCAAATTCCAATAACGCATAGTAAAAGGGGCAATTTATTTTATGGTCCATTATTATTAAAACTAATTTCAGCATCCCTGTCTTGGATGGCCCAGATGAATCTGATAGTGGTCCTCATTCTCCTGAGATAAGAATGGTGTAAACTCATAAGTTCAACTTTCCTGTAGGAGTGCCTATACTATAAAATAGCCTGAAAAATTTGGCTTTCTACAAACATTTAAAAGCTAAATTATTTTTGAGAGTTTTTGGGAACCTGAGCAGATGTTGTCTTATTGGTAACTGCAGGATTTGATTTTGGCAGTTTGCTTTTTCCCATCTGTGGATATTTTATTGTACTTCTTTAGATGTATGTGAACTGCTGGGGCACTTGTGTGATTGTACAAATATAATAAATAACAACATGAATAATTAATTTAAGAAGGAATGGGTTGAGTGGAGTAGAGTAGAATATTAATTGATTAGTCTTGCAACCTTATCAATAAGATAAAAGAAAAATAAAATACATAATAAAATGAAATACATAATATGATCCCAGGATAAAATACAATGATAAAATACATATGTGATAATACGAGGAGTCAGCAATCAGATGAGTGAATCTTCTTTGCAGGCTGCCCCAGTTTGTTTGATGTATCAGATTCTTAGCTCAACTGTCTTAATTAAAAACTTAGCAATAAGTTTACAATAGATACATTACACACTAGAACAATCTAATTTGGTTCCCAGTGGGCTGTAGTTCCCACGATATATGATAAGTATCTAAGCTTAAAGGGACATATAATTGACAGTTGAACAAAAACATGAGTAATGCTTTCAATGGCTGGGGTACTGCTTATGCAAGTTCTTTCATGATATGGCAAATTGTGGAAGTGCCTGTATTTGGCCATAGAATCCAACAACTCAAATCTTCTATAAAGTAGGCCCTTCTTAAAAATTGTGACAAACTCATTGACAAATATTGGAAAATAGTTTTATTTTTAGCCAACTAACTAAAATATTTATGTTTAGTCAATAACTTTATATTAGTTTGAACAGTGATATCTAAGACTCTATTTAAAAAATCCTCTTGCCTGGGAGGCTACTGAGAGTAAATACTGTGTAGAAAACCCATGTTGTAAAATAACTTTGGAAGTTGGCTTACCTAGGAATTGGACTGAGTCATAGTTATCTGTTCTGATAAACATCTTTGGAGAAATCTTTCAGGGTCCATAAAATGGATCCTCTGCTAGTATGTGAAAACTTTAATTATTAAATGACTATGGAATAGATATCTTGTTTCTGCTCTGACCGCAGAGGTAGATATTTTCTTTTCAGTTCCAATATGCATCCACTTCTAAATAGCTAAAAGTTTAAACTTGATCGATAGGCTCCCCATTGATCTGCCAGTTATATTTCACAGTTTTTCTACTAAAAACCATCACTTTAGATTTGGTTGCATTGATGTTTAAAAAATTAAGAGCACAGCAGTGTCAGAATTGTCTCCACTCAATCCCTAGGAAAGAAAAACTCTTGACTCTATAAATCAGAGAAAAGGTACCTTTACTAGAAACAAGTTGAGTACAACAAGGTCAGGCAAGATCTGAAGCAAAAATGTGAGAAGCACCAAACTGAAACAAACCCTAGAGCCACCCATCACCTTGTAGCCAGGGAACCAGAGTTCAATCATTGGACAAGATGTTTTGGGAAAGTCTCTGATTTAGGTGCACTGTTTCTCCCTTCTGCATGTTAAAGCTTGGACAATTGGCCTTGAGGTAAACAAAATCCAAGCTGACAGTTTCAATGCTTCTTGAAAATTTCCACCTTCATCTGCTGCATGCTTCACCCCCAAATGCCCACTCTTCACCCCCCCCATGGTTTCCATGGCAGCTGGCAGCAAGCTGGCAAGAAAATGAAGATGCAGGCTGGTTTAGCTTTTGCAACAGTCTTCTCAGGCCTATTTGGGAATCTGCCATTAGGACCACATCATCAGCATATAATAGGATATTAATAAATTAGTCATTGATTTTTTTGTCTGCAACATATAGGAATTCTGGTATATCATTGTCATAAAGATTAAAAGGCATTGGGACTAGACATAAGAATGATATGTTGATTTCTATGGAGCAGAAATTTTCAAATTTGGTTTTGAAAGTGATTTACTTTCTTCCTCCGTTCTTTTTCAGGGGTGAGATGTTACTGTGAAAATAGCATATACCATTGCAGTATCTACATAGTTTCCAAAGAATACATTCATGGCCAACCTTGAGATGATATAGACTGAAAAACAATTTAAGGCTTGTTTTGTTCTATTCCGTTCCTATTCTACTTGTACCAGGAGGGAGTTGGATTGTGGGTATTTGCATGCAGTGGCAGCAAAGGCTGAAAACTGATACATCATACCGCTTCCTAGAAATTGTACTTTTTAAAACATTCCTGTTTTTGGAAGAAAAAGTGAAGAGCACTAGAGAAATCTGTAATTTATTACTTCACTATTTCCCAAATAATATGATGAGGTGCTCTAACAAAATTACTTATTGTGATTAAAGGTTACAGTTGTCAATAACAAAATAATATACTCTCCTATTTTGTGTTTTTTCTTATATGGCAACTTAAAAAGAATTCATATATTTATGAATTCTGTCTTTCTAAATATTTCAGTCACTAAATATGGGTTGAGTCACTTCAGATAAACTCTCTTGATTTGGTTATCAGTTTTTCTAGCTCATCCCATTTTGGTTATAGATTGGGTTAATATGATATAAATATTTTTTTAATATACAGTCACAAAGAGAATATTGTTAAGAATATATTCTGCTTTGGAATTGTCTTTAATGATGCAAAAAGAGTCATAAATATTAGATGAAATATTCTTTCAGCATTATTTTTCCATGCTCCATTTATGGCTAATGATATTAAATGGAATAATGTAATTTACCTCAGGTCAAAATTACATATTTCCTTGAATCATTTTAGGCTTCAGGCACTTGAAAGAGTCCCATGATTAGGGTTACCAGATATCTGAAAAGGCAAAGGAGGAGATAGACAACTGAAATTGAGGGCAGATAGGAAAAGGGGGACACACTAACTGTTAAATTTTCTTGGCATCTGTAACAATTACTATGACAAACTCCCCCCACAAAAAGGTACTTGGGCCAATATGTATATGAAATTATTTTTTCCAGCATCAAAAAGACTGGTTGCAATATTTGCAATTGCATTATTTTCCTAACAAATCAAGAACATATGTTAGCAATAAAATAGAATTGATGACACACTTTTCAAGTTTCACCATAGAAATGTACAACATATCAGTGTGCTTTGAAGGTGATGAATTTAAACCAGTGGTTGAAATCAGGAAATAAATTTAATAATGGAAATCTAGGCTGTTGAGTCTGTTGATGGATAAAAGAAAGAAGCAGTTTACAAAGTCACTGTACATGAAAGCTTGAGTGACTACTGTTGTGAAAACTGTCCAACATAACAATGAAGACACAAACAAAAATGCTCAAAAAGAAGGACAATATTTGGTTTTAAGGCTATGCCTGACAGAGAGAGGCATCTAGTAACACTACCTATGATCCTTCTTCAGTTGTTGTTTTTTACATATATATATATGTGTGTGTGTGTGTGTGTGTGTGTGTGTATATATATATATATATGGCCTTCGGCTTTGTTCGGGTATTTTCCCACGTCATTGTAGTTGTTCTTTTAAAGTTGTAGCAACGTTTCAGCAGAATCTCATCTGCCATCATCAGGCTTCTGTATTGTGTCCGTCTGTGAGTCAGACTTTTACAGTGGTTTCAGATTTAAATTTGGGGCAGCCTATTGCTGTGCCAGAATGGTTTTTTCTTCATCCTGATTGGTTGGGAGTCTTGGTCTGTGTTTATTGGTCTCGGAGTTTGCTGTGTTCTGCTTGATTGGTGTCTCTAATATCTTCTGTCTGTTTTTTGGCTCTTTTTGTGTCTTGATTGGCTGGCAGCATTGTGTTACTTTATTGGAGGCCTTTAGTGCAGCTTGGCTTCGGGTAAATGGACGGCTATCATTAGTTAGGAAGCTGGGTTTCATCTGGGTGCCTGGTTGGGATGTGTTTGAGCTGGAAGTATCAGGGGGGATCTGTTTGTGCCCAGGTGTTTGTCTGGCTTGTGGTGTGGAGATTTTCTTGTTTGTGAGTGCAGGCTTCCAAATGATTGACAGCCTGGTGGAATCATCTCTTCTATTCATGCTTTCTGGTCTTTTTTCAATCTCTATGGCTTCTCTGATGATTCTGTGGCTAGGGTTTTCTAT